ACCAATTTGTCGCCACTCAAAATCAATTCCAACACTGTCAACAACAAACGTAGTGGTTGGTAGCAGGTGAAAAAAGTGTGGGTTTGCTGAATTGATATGCGAATTGGTATTTTTGGTAGGGCCTTTACAGATAGGCCCAGCCGTACTATTATTGCACTTCTATTGAAATTCATAATGATACTGATACCTTGTGATTATTTACTGGTACCTGCTGAAGGTACACCGATTGTCAATATTGGTGTCGTTGAACAATTACCGGCCACCTCTTCTGCTGGGTTAGCAATATTCTTAAACATTGAAAAAAAATCTATGAATATATCGATGATTTCAATTTATTATCTTAATTAATAATAATTATTTTTAAGATTGAGACTTTCTTATAATTAAAAAAAATAATCTAAAGCCTGGTATGGTACTTTAATATCCTAATAACTATAAGACGAGCATTTCTCAAATACATAAATTAATTAAAATAAAATGAATAAAAAATTCATCGATAATTTGATTGAAAAAATTAAATTGATGATAAGCCAAAGGAGAAGAGAAAGAGAGAAAGAGAGAGGGAGAAGGAGAAAGAGAAAAAAACGCAATAGTTTCTTGTCTCTTTTTCATTGTATTGGTGGCTTTTTTAAAAATTTTTCAAATTAAAATTTAATATCTACTAATTTATTTAATATTTTTCATACCGAATTGCATCCTTTCATTTTTACATGCGCGCGCCTTTTGTATTTGCATTTAAAATGCAGCACATGGAATTTGCATGCACAATCAAAGTGTCGAAATTGTGATGAACCCCTTTAGGTTATCAGTTTTTTGACATGCAAATAATAATTCTCTTCTTCAACACGATTGATAAGAAGCGAATTCTAAAAGAAGTTTGAAGTTCGGACTTTGCTTACAAATTGTCGAATTTACGCTATACATAAAAAAAGAATTGTACTCCAACGATTTATGTATTCACACTAACATTCCGCTGAATTGTCACTTTTTAAAGAATTTTTTTCAATTTTCAAATGACATACATATATTTCAAAGATCAAAAAAAATCAATTTATAATCTGATTTTGGGTATCATTTCTTATTTGAAGTCTAAAGGAAATTTTACGAATTTCTTTTCAGATTGGATGAGTCATTTTTTTACACTGATTATTATTAATTTATGATCAAAATTGGTCAGTCAAATTCAATAGTTTTTTTTTAAAGAATATTGTTTTTACAAAGAAGAACAAACATATTTAGTTGAAAAGTGAAAAATACATTTATCTTTTTGAACAGTAACATTTTATTAATAAGAATTAATATTGGATAAATTAATTCGTTTACATTGTTCAATATTTTAAATGTGAATATATCTAATTTTACATATTTCATTAAATAATAGATTGGTATCGAACAGTTTCCTAAATGCGCCCATCACACACAATTCGAAACTTTAATTTTTTTCTGTATTTTCAATAGGAGATCATTCAGTATGAAATGCAAAATAATAATATCTTTAAATCCTATCATAGATCTTATTCATGGTTTGAAATAGAAAACTTTTTAAATTAGTTCGCTAATTAAAGTTTCGAATTTTCAAAGCTGTTCAAATATTTCATTTCATTTTTCTAGCTCTCTAAAATTTCTAATCATACGTTTTAAAATTTATAAGCGCTTGTTCATTTTATATTTAATTTGAAAAGCTTTCATTATATTCAAAATTTTCGACTTCAGCTAAAATTTTTTACAGCATTAAGAATATTTTGCTGTCTTTAAAATGCTTGTGATATATTACTGTCCGCTTTCATCTATCCGATCATAAATTATTTCCTTTCAATTATTAGCCAATTTATCTTAATTCGTAATTGAGTATTCAAAAAAAAGAAAAAAGAATTTGCATTCTGAAATCATAACAATCGATCATAAAAAGAAATGATAAACAAAAAAAAGTGAAGGGAAAGAAAAAATTTTTTTCGTAAGTAATTTATTATTTATGAATGCAACAATGATTTAGTCCTTTCATTCGTGAATTAAAAACCAATCGGCTATTACAAACAATTTGCGCATATGGTTTGAGGCTAATACTTTGTATTTTATAAAAATTTTTGTAATGGATGAAATGAAAAATGAATAGTTAGAAATTTGGAATATTCAATAATGAGAGGATTCAATTTGCTTTTACATGAAGGATTCAATTTTGTATCAACAAAAGTTAATCGCTATAATTTCTAGAAATGTAAATAAAAATTAACAAAAAGTCTTTAATGCTTCTTTAAATGAAGAAATGGAAGGTAATTAGAAATCTTAGTTTGGCTTAAAATCAAACTTGATTTTTGTTCTCTTTTTTTAACTTTAGCGTTTATATTTTTGGCAATTTTAAACTTTTTAAATCTCAGTAAGATGCATCTGACGGTGATGTATCGATTTAAATTTTAAATTTATTTCATGAGGACAATTTAATGAACTGATCTTAAAAATGCAAGTAACACTGACCTTTATTGTCTTCTTTTTTCAATTTTAGCACTGCAACTTTTATCATAAATGAACAAAGTACCATAAGCGTTTCACTTTCCGCCGCAGCGCATTTGTCTTGCTTTCTTTTCCTGCCAAATATTCTCCTTGACTCCACTTGAGACTAATTTTGTTTGGGTAGAGAAATTGAAACAATTAATTTTTAGTGTTTATTAAATTAGATTAAATTTCTCTCTGCTACAACTTCAAAATTTCATTACTATTTTTCCATCTTTTGAATTAGCAGAGTTTTATTTGATAAAAAATTGGATTCATCAATTTCCTAATAACTTATACAAATAGATGATGCTAAGCTTTATAATGAAATTTTTATAACTTAATTTCTATATGAGTTATATCATCATTAAATAATAGAAAAGCATTTTTTGCGCTCAACAAGCGATCATGAATTAATAGGAAACAGCTTCTAAAGAAATTTATTTATGAAATTTGTTTATATTTTAGAAACACCGAAAGCTAATTTATAGGTATATTCAGTACAAGGTGGAAAATGGATCTGTTTTTGATGAAATAGCAAAGAAAGCATTTATTTCATTACATTCCGAACCGTACATTGAACCACCACTGTTAACCTTTGATCAAAAACGCTTAAAATGGCTTCAACGATACATGCGAAAACAGTTAAAAGCCGAGAAGAAAGGTAAAAATTAGCGGCTTAAAATGTACAAATTTTTTTGAATTTATTTTAATTTAGGAGTAAACTTTTATAATGGTTAATCCATTTAAAGATTTTTTCCATTTATTTTTACTAATTGATAAATGATATTAGGCAAGAAAGTGATATCTTCACCGAAAGAAGCATTACAACAAGTGAATCAAGAAGTAAGTTTAGGCAGATTAGATGATTCAAGGCCTGTGGCACACTGTGATGGTCAAATTTTTAAGCAACGTATCCGTATGGATGGTTGTTTATCAAAGGTTATCTTTTTATTTTTCGTTCATTGTAAAATTAATACTTTACAATATTGATCAGACAAGAGAAATTAATATAATAATCTTAAATTTATAATTGAATCAAAAATAAACGATCAATTGATCGGATGAATCGAATGAAAAATAATATGACAATATTTTAACAAAATCATCATTTTAGAAAGTTCGAAAACTTAAATTATAACGGATAATGCTATAAAGGAATAACATTTAGATAATATTCAAAGTGCATTAAAAAGATTAAATTGCTGCATTTTGCTAAAATTGTTTAATTCCATATAGTCAACGAATGAAGTATATGAGTGATAATGATGATAATGAATGATAAAATTTGCAGGTAGTACATAACAGATTTTGTCATGGAACCTGTTCCTCCTATTTCATACCACGTTTGAGGCCACGAAAATTGAAATTGGACGCTATGTTTCAGAGTTGTTCAGTGTGTAGGCCTGCTGAATGGGATACTGTTGAGGTATGCATTTGCATTTGAATTTTTTTGTTGTTTTGCAAAAAAAAAAAATAAAGATGAGAAACGTAAAAAGTGCATCATTGCTGTCAGTGAAATATGAAAAATTTCAATTTTGAAAAATTATCAGAGCGGATAAATTTTTTATTTTTTCTTGGAAAAAGCTTAGCTTATAATCAAATTTCTTAATTAATAAAGGATTTTTGTTTAACAATTCATTATGCATAAATAGGTGAAATTGGATTGTCCAAGAAAAAATCCAAAAGAATTGAAACGAAAAGTGATCAAAGTGAAGAAATGTAAATGCATTGCATTGAGCAGAAATAATCTTGAAAGCGAAGAGGATGGCCGATAAAGTAACCGGGTTTTACTGCCAGAAAACCAGGTTGCACTCCTAAATTATCAATTTATTTATTTATTTTTTATGTCTTATTTTTTTTTGAGATTTTAATGTAAAGTGATGTGATAATGATGATTAAATTTTTTCTTTTGGAAAATTCTCAAAAGGAAAAATTTAATTACTAATTTTTAAAAATAAACTTTGCACAGTACAGGTAACAAATGAGAAATGATATTTGAATTGTGCAAGAGATCCTTTTTTTAAGATGAGTATAAATGATTTTCTATCATATTCAATTGCAACTCTTAATTTTAACATAATTGCATGCATAAGTTAGAGATGAAATTTATGCATCAAATTTTTGTATTTTATTAGAAATTTTTAGATGCAATCAAATTAAAGTCTTCACGCAATAAGTTTTGAAATTTTTAATAACATTACTGAATGTTTTGTCTAATAAAATCTCTTTACAATTATTTATTAAACTAAAAATCTGTAAAAAACAAAATGGATTCCTTATTATTTTGCAAGATAGTAGAAAGCCTAACTTTTGTTAGAATGAATTACAAATTGAGCAAACTTCGAGTTACTAAATTCAAATACATCTTTCAGATTGTAGCTTTTATTGAAATTTTCAGCAAAAGTTCTCAAAATGTAATGATTTAATAAATTTCCTGTTCTTAATAATTTTATTCTTACTATAAATTATTGTTCGATTAGCTATAAGAATTTAAAAAATTAAAATAGAAAAAAATAATACATATATTCTAGGGAACTGTTTAATTTAAAATTGTTGTTTATATTTATTAAAAAAAAATTGCCGTCCTCATGAAATTACAAATGATCTCATGTTATTATTACTACTATCATTATTATTATTACTATTATTATTATCATTATTATTATTATGTTTCTTATCTTTGCAATGCAACATTTTCTCATATGTTTGTATTAACTTTGTGCATAAAAAAAACAAACACATATTCTATGATCGTATTTCTCTCATATTGAAAATGTTTTTTGCGTTTTGGTCTGAAATTTGAATGACACAATTCGATGACATCTCCGCTCAAAAATTTATTCATTCGTAAATTTTTATTTCATTTCTCATTCTAAATACCCATTTCTTAATTTCATCCAATCAATTGCTACAATTCACATTAATTTTAATGCTTCATAATTTTGTTTCAAAATTTTTAAACAGATAAAATGAAAATTTTTCAAAATTTAAAAGTTTTTATTTGTTTATTTCAATTAACATTTTTAGCATATAAAATTCCCACGTGCAAAACTATCAACAATGATTTGTTTTGTTATTGATCTGTTTGAGAAGCAAATTTATGCTTTGTACAAAAGTAATTATTGACTTTATTAATTTCAATAAATTTTTGATAGTGTAAGATTAAATTTGTAATTTCAATAAAATCTCTATTTTTAATGTTAGCCACCCTTTCATTTATCATTTTTTGGTTTCCTTTTTAAATCATTTTCCAACGTGTTTTAACAGCATATTGAAATGTATCGCATACTTCAACTGACAATCTTTTTTTCCATTAGACAATTAATCCGTAGGGATAATTTAATAAAAACAAAAAATAATTAAAATTTGGAATTTTTTTTTCAAAAAAAAATTACATTTTTGATATATTTAATAAATCTTATTTATGAATACAACTATAATCACCCAATTTATAACAAAAATTTTCTATAAATTTTGAGAGAAACAAGAAAAAAAAAAGTTGTTTGAAATTATAGAAGATGAGGGGGTGTACACAAAACAGCTGATATCTTTTTAGAGGTGGCTCCTGAGAGGCGCCGATGAGAATGCTCGAAGTGATCGGTTTGAGGCGCCGACAATCAGTCAACGATATGTGTCGTCCATTCTTCCCCTCTCCCTCCAACATTTTTGGATCGAGTCGCCATTCAGTCGATCAACTGTTGATAGTGCTATTATTATATTAAGGCCCGATCAGTTGAGTACAGTACAGTACTAACACTGATAGATTCAAACGTTACGAATTATATACCATTTTTAACCGTTACGATATTATTGATTACTTTCAAAAGATCACTATTTCATATTTTTACTTTTTATTTTTACCTTTTGTTACACAATCAAAAATACTGCTGCTCCATTCAATTTCAAGAAAAAAAAAATCTTTGAATTTGCAAAAAAAATGTTATTTAATCTTTCATTTATTATCCGCCCGCTATTTCATATTAATATGATTATGAATTCTCTGAAAAATACGGCTTCTTTTCTCGGGGATTTTTGTGAAAGTCTAAAAACTTTATCATCAGCAGTTAGAAAGAAATAAATAAAATTGAATTTAATGAAATTAATTTCATTTTGGTATCATCACTCATGCATACCAAGATCTCTGAAAAATATTTTACTTTTTTTTTTTGAAAATGCCTGACAATTGGAAATGTTTATAAGTCATCTAAAGCCGTCAATTAATAATGACTGATTCCTGGAGTGTATACGAATTGGCTTCAATAACAATCAACAAAGCAAACTTGAAAATTTGAGTTGAAATAAATAATTAATTTTCTGTTTGAATAGAATAAATATGCTTCTCAGATATATGGATATATCGTAAATGATAATTCAATTTTTGAACAGTTAATATTATTGATTACTTGCTTGCTTATCATATACAAAAACTCAATTTTCATTTACGTTCTCTTTTTTCGAAAAGAGCAAACAGAAAAATATTTCAAAATTTGCTTTAAATTTAAAAGAAAAAAAATACCAAAATAAAGTTTTGACATAAGGCATATTTATAAGCTATAAATTATTTATTTTTAACTAACGAAATGCATATGGTGTGGGAAAAATTAACATGCAGAAAAAAATTACAACATATGTTTAGTATAAGTCTTAACATTAAGTCATCCAATCAAATACTAAATCCTAAATTTCAATTTTTTTTTCTTTCTAAGATTTGTGTACATATTTGATGTTATCATTAATTTGACATATAATTGAAATGTATAAATCAATGTAATAGTTAAATTTTGTATTTTTCTCTCCTTTTTCCAACAAAATCTTTCGAAGAATAAACAAAGTTTCAGTACATTAACGGAAGTAGCATAAAGAGTGAATCAATTGGTTCATTTAGTTATAAAAAACAAATGACAGGCACTGTGAATAGAACGTTGGCGCCAGTAAAACTTCAAAGGAAATTCTTCCCTTCTAAAAACTTCCTACCATTTCACTCATTCAGTACTATTAGAACATAGATCATCTTGTAGTCAAAACTGCTATTTATTGTTACTTTAATTATATTTTAATATATTACGATGGGAGAAATTCGAATAAAATTGTAGGAAAAATCTAACCTACTCATGAAATGGTAAACTATAGGATCAATTTCAATCATCCGTAAGTTAAAGTTACATTGCCGGGAAAGTTTTCTTTGAAAGACTCTTGAATATCTCTATCTAATAATGCTGATGTATGTTATTGAGAGAGACGAATGTAATACATCTCAAATATAAAATACTTATAATTATCGCTGTTGAAACATTTAAAAAGAGTTATATAATAAATTCAGCAGAAATCCATTTCGATCCAAACAAACTCTATCATATTTTAGCTATTCAAAATTAATTATGCTAAAATATATTGATGGCACGGTTAAATTCAACGTTGAATTAACTGATTGAATGAGAGATAATTTCAAATGGATATGGATTCATTATGGAACAGTTTGAATGTTCATCGAAATTAGCATCCCAAATAGCAATACAAAGAAAAAGTTCAGAGAAAATTAAGCATTTAACACCAAAAAATCATAAAACATACCGATACATTTGTTCGATGAAAATATCACAATAATGTAGTATTTTTCGATGAAAATATTTGTATGGGCAGAAAATTCGAACGAGATTTTTTAATCTTACTTTTTAGTAAGTAATAAAAATTTATTGCATAAAATTTTTATATTTCATTACACTTACAAATAACTGAACAAAAAACAATATACAAAATTGACGAGTTGCAATAAAGAACAAACATCGATGTTCAACAATCTTGAAATTTTGAGCTTAAAAAAATCCATTCAATGAAGTTTGTTCGACAAAGCAGTTTAAAAAATTACAACAAAAAATCACAACAAAGCACGGATCACCCGTACTAATAGATATGTCTATAAAAAATTTACAGGATAAGAAAGCCCATATTAAACAATAAAACAGCTGCAATATCAAAATATATAAAGAAAATGCGAATGCTTCAGAATTCACAACTTTGTTCGAGAAAATTAAATGAATAAAAGATTCCCCAAAATCTGGTTATCCAACTGATAATTATACGATGCAAATCCTAGTTAACTGCATGATGAATCCATTAGTTAACGATCAACGACAGGAAAAAGTAGAACATTGGATAACATATAGTCGAGATCTGGCAACCGGTCATGAAGAGCCCGAGCATCAAGTGAAAGTTCGCTCACTGGCTTATATTTTCGTTTATCACCATTTTTGTTCAGCATGTAATCCAATACAATTCTGAAACAAGTAAAGATTAATAATTCGTATGAAAATAGTATAAATATCTGGATGACAATTTTTTACAGACAACACTGAGAGATTTAACGACAGTTTATGTTATATAGTTTTTCCTCAGCAGAAACACTAACTATTTGAGGTTTGAACTATGACAGAAAAATTAAAAGATTTCGAAATATAAAACCATTAGTTCTATCGATTTATAACGAAATATGTATCATATAAAATACAAACTATTCTCAAATGGTCGAAAAAAAGCCAGTTAAAAAGAATTTCATTAGATTTTTGTTTTTCAACGCAAAAAAATTACTTACGATGTGTTGCTTGAAATATCTTTTTCAGTTTTGCTCTTCTCGACATTATCCGGCAAATTTAGGCCAAACGCAGTCAAATCCTATTAGAAGCCAATAAATTTATTTATAACAAGTTTTAATTTTAAGAATATAGAGATTCTAAGATAAACATAAGTCAACACATAACTGTCAGCTTTTAACTCGGATGCTATATTATGCACTATTAACTTTTAACTTTTTCTGGTTCATGCTGCACTCATTGCCATTTTTCCATAAAAAGTAAAGATAATATCGATATGACTAAAAATAATCCGTTAACAAGCCCATTGAAATGATCAATATATAATGACAAATTCAAGTTACTACCTGAAACCCATTATCTTTATTTTAAGCATGTGAAATCTTTCAACAAGGATTTACTATTCAACCATTAGAATATAAAGAAGAGTGAATAAAACCTTCTGCAGCGTTGAGAATACCTGCATCGTTGGCGAACCATTACCAGCTGAGCCTTTACTATTTGTGGATACCAAGAAATCCAAGTCTAGCGATGCAGATGATACACTTAATGCTGTAAAAAAAATTTGACGTGGTTTTTGGAAAAAGTCTATTCAACAAAGATAAATCAATTTCATAAGAGGTAAAGGATTTTTTAAACAACAAAGCCATCATTTCTTTTCTACATGAAGTCTTCCATGTTAAAGGAAATCTATCACGCTAAAGTTACCATATCACAAGTGGTCATAATTTTGAATACGCCAAACTTGAATAAATAGCGAATATCATTTCATTATAATGATAATTTAACCTGGAATCTTGCTATATGTATATATATATAAACCTCGCAAATTAATTGCTGACTGCTTTTTAAACGAAATGAGAAAAAAGAACATACATCCAGTTTTGAGAGGATTTGTTAGACCGGAATTATTCCAGTCAAACTGCACTGGTGGAACGGCCAATGAATCAATAGTAATGGATCTTGAAGGCGCCTGCTGACTGACTGAAGACCTGTAAGAAGTACGATCTGAGCCTTTTCCTGTCACGCTATGCATGGATCATGCGATCAATGCTGCTGGCATATTTCTTCAAGATCTATGCTTCTATTTACATCAACAAACATTGTTTGCGCTTCCTGCAAACAATAAATTGTCAAAACTAAAAAGCAGGCTACAAGAATTAAAGCATTCTCATTATTAGCATAAAATCGTCTCCATATTCCTGTCATTAGTGAGACAAAAAGACAAGTAATGGCTAATATGAATCAAACGGATAAGAAAGAATCTGAGCAAAATAATAAAATCAAAAAGCTGAAGTAGAACGAGAAATATAAGACTTTCTAAGCTTTATTAGAATATCTGAATTGATTTGCGTTTGCACATTTCGAATAAGAAAATTTAAACAGGTTAATCCAAATTTTCAAATTCTACTCTAAACATTATATTGGCTTTATGAAAAGTTAAACAAGACAAAATTATGGATTATAAGAAAACTTTGAAACATAGAGACATGCAAAGCAAATTTAGGAACAGTGAAAAGCCTGAAATTTTGTCATGCAAATGTAAAACATATATGTAAACATCCCAATCCAATGTGAAAGCATCACTTGTCCCTTACCTTTCAATACCTCTATGAGATAAAAAGTCAGACGAATTTGACTGTGGCAACCTGAAAATGATTTTCACTATGCTCTAAGTAGCAGTAAGGTTTAAGTGTGACTGAATTTTCAAAACTTACGAATTTTTTTCATCCATCAATGTAATTCCAACGCAGTCTTTCACCACAGAAGCAGGTGCAAGAACTGTACTTTCTTCAAGCTGTTGCGCAAATAGAGGGAGGTCTGAGTTTCGAATAAGAGTCTGAAAAAAAGATTAAAATTCATTTGTCGGAATGATTAATTGTGGCATTTAACAATCTTCGTGTTTTTAAATTGTTATAATTTATTAAAAAGTGATATTCGAATAATTATCAATGTATGGATTTTTTGTATCAAATAATAACAACAATGAACCTTATTCACATCAACATCCAGTGAATGTAAAAAACAACTCCGGATCGATGAATCATGCCACTGCAGTTTTAGCGCTAGCGCTTCCTCAATAATGCTTACTGCTATCCATATCATTTCATCTGGTCTAAACACGCCTTCAATAGAGATCAAAAAAATTCACTAATGAATATATATCAAAAATACTATTTTGGACTACATTAATTATCAATCATAAAATCTTGTGATGAATGAAATAATCACAAAACTGTCTATAATTTTCCTAATAAAAGCATACATCACAAGTTTGAAGATACTTGCAAAACTTGAAGCACTAACCCTATTAATTCTATAAATTCATCATCCGTTATGCAAGAAAAAAATTTTACCTGTCCTTGCTGTTTCTACTTATTGCATTACTTAATGTTTCATATACTCCATTAACGGGAATATCATGCTCGTTATTGTTTTCTTCTTCTTTAGTGATTGTTTTCCACAGCTGATCATCCCGTAAATTTTCTAGAAGTTCCGGTAACAGTGGCTGAAATGTAGTCCCAAATTATGGCTTTCAAAGTGTAAATCCTTTGATTCCATTATCTTGGTCTGTATTAATCAAACAAATCATTCTTTTTCAAGAAACCAATGTCTCCTATATTGTACAGCAATATAATGCAAAAAAGACTGAATTACGAAAAGAAGATAGGAAGAGAGGTATATGACATATTCGGTGATACCAGTGTTACCTCAGCAAAAGACTAATGCTAATAAAGAAATATGGCTGATATTCCACAGATTCTACAAGTTAAAGGTGCGTCACGATTATTACTTCGATTATTTCTGTATCAAATACAATTAAATCTAAACTTTCCTATAAGACAATTCTAAAAAATAATGAGTGGTTGTAAGAAATGATTTAAACTAAATCCAACTTACAGTTTCAGCGGTAAACTGCAATTCTGCTTCTGAAGATGCAATAGCTCTAATTGACTTATTTTTCATATCAAAATCAGGCAATGAAGAAGATTCGAAATCTGCCCAATTATCATTTTCACTTTTCTGATTTTTCTCCTGAATTGAATGAGTTAAAAGACGAGTAAGTTTATTTTTTAAAAAATTGCTCATTATATTTATGTTTAAGAAACTAATTTGGAAAACTTTGAAAATTGAACTTCGTGCAAAATGAACCTTCCTTTACATTACAATTTTGTGACAAAAGTGAATATGTACCGCCTTGGTAAATTTTTCGAAATCACCAAATTCGTCATCGTCTTCATTGTATTCGGAAACGCTTTGCGCAATTATTCCTTTATTTTTATCAATCGAATCGATAATTTCTAAATCTGAACTGTCTTTTGTCTGGTCTTTCGTATTTTCAGTTGAAATCGAGTCCTTCCTCTCTTTTATGAAACTTGGCATACCATATGGTCCATCACCGGTAGTTCTATCTTCCTGAATTGAATAGATCAACATTGAAAGAAAATATTTGAATGATAAATTTCGAAGAACAATCCATGTGTTGATAATTGAAGTACTCACCTGAACAGAATGAACCATAAAGGAGCTTTTTATCACATCTGAATCCCCAAAACAGCCTGAAACGTCAGGCGATATATCTTGGGGTTCAGAAATTTGAGCAAACTGGGAAGATCGAGACTGCAAAGAAGAAGATGAAAGATTCTGCTGCTCGTCATAATCGTTATGTGATAGAATTTTAATAACAACATTCTCACTTCGATCTGGAATTTTGCTTGCTTTGGTAGACTCACTCTGAGGCGTTGCCGTCTGAGAATTAATAAATTTTGAATCTGATTCATTTTGAAGTACGACTGGCATATGCAAACAAAATTCTGCATTATTCCCGTCGTAATCATCATCCGCAACAGCAGTAAAGCGATTATGATCGTTTAAATCAGCAAAGGTATTGTCACATGAGCTTTCGATAGGTGGAGGTGAAGGCAGTGGTGGTGGATCATCTTCGAACATCTTCTTTAATTAATTAATTAATCTGAAAAGTAAACAAAACAGTGGTACTGTCATGATTCTTCTGAAAACAAATATGTCGTTCTAGTATAAAAACGACTTATGTCTCATACTATTTCACATTTACCTCATTCGAGCTGAAATTATTTTCATAATTTAACTGTGCAATGAATTAAACAGAGAGCTATACATTTAATTCCTAGATCAGAAAAAAATTCAAGTGGAATATAAAATAGTTATTTAAGATTTAAGAATGAAACACAAAAATTCCTTTGCCTCTCATTTACGATTACTTTAACTTTTTTCTTCGTTCGCACCTATACTGCTTAATGAATAATAATAACTATTTTGCGAATAACAACTAAGGAACCGAAAATGAAGCTGCAGATAAATTGCACTGTAAATACACGAATCAAGTGTAACACTTAACGACAAAAATTGACAGCTATCAACGAGTTATTCAGAAATCTCGTCATCAATATGCATTTGATCGAACTGCGACTAATTAAACATCTCTTATTCTTTCAAAAAATTTTAATTTGATTCAAATATTAGCAGAAATTCAAATCATGCCATATGCCAAATAGATGGACAAGCAAAATTTTTCAATGCTATTACGATTGAAATAGAGAATATACGTTCTTTTAAATAACACAGCTGTTTCAACAATTACTATGGAATAAATTTGGAAAATGAATTTTTTTTATTAAATCATACGGCCTTCACATCAACAGACATCCAATACTCGAATTCAGTAAAACTCAACGTTTTCATAATCCCCGGCATGCAACTAATATGCAACAGAGTAATGATTTCGGGGTCGTGGCGGGAGTCGAGGGGTCAAAGGCTAATGTCAGGAGGCAAGGATGACTGGGCGTGGCTAGGTTTTCAGGATGTTTATGATAAAGAAATGTAAGTTTGAGTGAAATGGCGATGAGAAAAGTTACTGAAATGTCAACTAATGAATAATTAATGTTAACAATAATTTGGGAAAAAATTGCATTCCTCAGCTTTTCTATGGATCTTTTCGAGTTCTTAATTAATCAGCAAGCAACCGGTTAGTCAAATCGTTCATGATATACATATTATTATTGCCGGATAAACATTTAAAAAGTGATCCTAAAAAGGATTACTTCATTTTCAAGTCACTTTTCTTATTATTGTTTATTTTCCTCTCATTGAAGAAGGATATTATAACTTTCATTCTTACAGATTTTTGTTTAATTGGGAGCAGTAAAGGAGAATGCACTATGAATGATAATTTTTGATGTTGAAGCTCCATCCCCTACCATTTGATAACTATCAGATGCGACATTTTCTCATTTCATCAGCCTTAATGTAGAAATTGATGCATCTCTTAGTAATATAGAACTTTTAAAGTTTTATAAACGATTGAGTTGAATAAGTGCTTGACAAATAAAAGCGAAAAGAAAGGTAACGAATGAGAAAACAAGAATGGCACAGGCATGTGATATACAATGATGGATGACACCTGCAGAAAACCCGTTTCTATCTTCATACACTGTCACTACTCATTGATCGTTATCGCACTGTTCCCGTTCAATAAAAATTTTTGAAGTGAGCAAAAAAGAGTGAGAATGAAGAGAGACGGAGAAAATCTGTCTGACTCTTTCTGTGTGTGTGAAAAATCTACATTTGCTTATCTTATGGATATAGAGAAAGACCATAAGTGCTAATTTAACACTTGCGATAGAATATTCGGGCTAATTAAACTTATTTCTATAAAACAAATGAACCTGGCTGAATTAAATGAAACATACAACAGCATCTCGAGAGCACTGCATTAAGAAGAGTTGATTGGGTAATATCGTTCGAGCAGCATAAGTACTGCTGTCATTCATGCATGTTTTCGTAGACATGTTTCATGCTACCGTAGAGAATTGGCAATGATATTTCTCGAACACGGAAGTGAAAATATGTAGTGTATTAGTTTGCTTAACGAGACATGAACAGTAATCGCCGAAAATTTCAAATTCTGAACAGGGGTGGTGTGTCAATTTTAAATCGTTATTTCTGCACAGACATTTGTTGAAAATCACGATAAAAATCGTACTAGCAATTACTCAAACTTATCCCTTTTAACTAATTACTTATAAAATTATCAATATAAGAAAAGCACAAAAACAGTTATTAAATCATTTAATTGTGGAAAATGCTTGTAATCATGCAAAAAGCTGGAAATAAACAGAACTATTTTAAAATTCATTATTTATTTTGATAAAATTTGTTGTGGAATGAATCATAATTTTAGAATATGCGTCATTTGACTTTCTTTCTTTATCGTACTCCTCAATATCTTCAACTATTTATATTCTTTTAAAGTCGTATTAAATTGTCATAGATTATGTAAATTAAATTTAAAGACTTATCATGTTTTCAGAAAAGAATAAAATAGGTTGTAATGGTGCTAATTTCATCAGTTTATTTTATCATTTGATATCAGCAGTTGGTAGGGTCACGTACTCTTCATTTTGTATTTTCAATTTAGATCACTGTAAGTTAAAATAAGATTCTATTGGTGTAGAACAATTGTGCTTTCGAATATTGGTTAAAAATTACTACTGCAAAAAAAAAAGCTGGATTTAAGCGATGGCTACAAGCATTGCAACGGAAACATTGGACAGAATGATATCTACACTAGAAGAAATGGTTACCAAAAAAGTAAATCAACTTTTCTTGATAAAATTGATCAAAATTTGGCCAGATGAATTGTTGATGCCAGAGTTAATGTATTTCTTAGAGCATAATAATGAATTAATGATAATGTTTCAAATTGCACATTTTTGTTTGATATTGGTTCTTTATGCAGACCTTTTAAAATCATATCCTAATTTAATTCCAACTTTTCATCTATTTCAACGCTTTTTTCTGAAACATTTTTACTCATTATACGCAGTAATTAAGTGAAATTAAAATAAATTATTTCTTACAAATCAACTGGTACGCAAACATCTATGGCCATCGAGAAAATTTCAGCAAGAGAGAAATGAACAATATTTAGGAGATTCAAATGAATCAAAAAATAACGTTAGAAGAAATATTAGCATTAATGTCCACTGCTACGATAATTATGATGGAAGAAGGTTCGCTGATTGAGGTTGATGTACCAATTAAGGTTGTTGGTGATATTCATGGCCAGTATGAGGTAAATGAACTGATCACCTCTCGACAAATCAACTTTTCGGGATTACCCTTGAGAGATCAAAATGACCGCATGCTATCATTTAGGAAGAAATGTGTATTTGAAGAATTGAAAAGAAAAGAAATTAAAAAATCAAGCTACTGCTTTGCTGATTGCTTATCCCGCTAAGATCTCATATTTTAAACCTTTTAAATTCTAAGTTTTAATCTGCAATTAAACTTGAAATACAAAAAATGCAGGATATGCACAAACTATTTGGAATAATCGGTAAAGTGCCTGATGTGAAAATGATTTTTTTGGGAGATTACATCGATCGTGGGCCACAATCCATTGAAACAATAGTCTATCTGCTATGTTTGAAAGTGAAATATCCAGATCGCATTTTTTTGCTTCGAGGAAACCACGAAACCCCGGCAGTAAATCGCATATACGGCTTCTATAACGAATGCATACTTAAATACGGGTGAACCATTCGGATGGTTTAAATTGCAAATATTCTCAGATATCATTTTTATCATTAAGCATTGATAATTTGAGCCATGAATTTCATAAAATTCTTTTGAACTAATATCTTTTCAAACAAAAAAACAAAAAAACAAAATGTTTCTAGCGTTGGCTTATGGTGGGATTTCCAGTCATTTTTCAATCGTATGCCTATGGCTGGACTTATCGCTAAACGTGTTCTTTGCATGCATGGTGGCCTATCACCGCATCTGACAAGTCTCGATCAAATCCGTCAAATTAAACGTCCTTGCGAACCATTGGTTCATCTCTCTAATAGTTATATTAAATGAATTATGCAATATTTTTTATATATCGATAATTCGTCAAATTGTTTTATTATCTCAATTTATCATCATAATTTAGGATCGTGGATTACTAATCGATTTAGTTTGGTCAGATCCAACAAACAAAGGAGATGGTTGGTTCTATTCTCCACGTGGTCTTAGTTATTCATTTGGTAAAGGTGTTTTGCTTGCCGCTTGCAAAATGTTAAAAATTGATCTTGTCATTCGAGCTCATCAGGTAAGAACTTTTTTTTTTTAATTAGACATGAAAGAGATGAGAGGAAATAGTTGAAATTATAAATTCTGAAGGAAAATCCTCTCTCTCAAAAAAAAGTAGGCGAAGAAAAGTTTTAGGTTGTGCAAGATGGATATGAATTGATGGTTGGTAAAAAATTGATTACGATATTTTCTGCTCCAAATTATGCTGGACAATTCAATAATGCGGGTGCTGTTGTTTGCATCGACGAAGATTTACAGGTTTATTGAAAGCGTCAAATTAATTAATGAAATTTTTGTGGAAATTTATTATTAATATAAATTAGAGAGGAAAATATATATGTGTTAAGATATTTGAACAGTGTTAAATTGCTTTATAAGAATTCTCGGGAGTCTTATTTCATGTCCAAGTAAATAAATTTCATTGCATGCTAATTTTCTAAAGAATTTTAGCCATTCTTGTTATGACAGTAAGCAATAAAATACTACAAATTGCAGATAACATTCCAACAACTTCGCGTTCCACCGGGACCAACTTGTGTGCGGAGCTGTCCAGAAGTAGCCTGTGTTCCCGGCCAAGCACTCATCTTACCACAGATCAAAGAATCAGCATGTACACCTCAGGTAGATTATATTAATAACATTCATCTATCCTGAAGTAACTTACAAACAGCAGAATTTGAAGTTTTTTTTTTCCAGCTGAAAACCGCTAAACCAAAAGCTGAAGAATTGAAAGAAAGAGTGGAGGATAAGAAGGAAGAAAATAACGAGAAGGCAGAGAATAAAGAAGCGAAGATGGAAAATAACAATAAGGATGCAGAAAAGAGAAATGGAGGCGAGAAAGAGGAGGAAAAGAAGACTGCTGAAAATGAGGAGAATGGTAAACACAGGAGAAATAGTGAAAATAATGAAAAGAATACAGAGAAGGTTAGTGATATAGTGTAAGTAAGAAGTTCGAGTTAGGCCTGATGATAAGATGATGTGCCCAAGTTATCCTTGGACTCATAGAAAGATACTGTATTATTGTTGTTATGAATAAAATCCTTTTTTAAGATCATCCTAAAAAAAATAATTCTTTCGGCTTCTTTCTACAATTTTTCCCCTTATCAATGTGTTAAAAACGAGATAGTGAAGTCTGTCATTGATTCACAATTGTTCTAATTACTTAATCATCCTGAATATTGAGGCTAATAGATTATAAAATTAATAAGTCCCGATATTTTGGCTAATGAAAGCGTAAAGCACTATACATTAGTGTAATTATAATACTGATCTATTTCAGAAATAAATGGTGACACTTGGAATTGATAATATCATCCCTATTTGAAATATCAAATTTCATGCTAGAAATATCATCGCTATCATTTCATTTCAATCTCTTCATTCTCCACTTTTTCCATTCTATCTTTCGGAATACGTAAAAGCTGCGTGTAGAAGTGATCCTCCATTTATTCCTACGTAACGCTATATCCCATTGATTATCACTACACTTCATCACTTTGTGTCCAAATACTAAATAAATAGTGAATTTAAAATAAAACGTATATGATGAAAATGATAAATGATATACAAATTTATCGTCGATCGTTCACATAAAAGCCTTCACGAACTTCACGTACATTGACTTTTGATCCATAAACTGAAAGCAGTCAGAAGTTTCATGTGCATTGACTTTAATCCTTAAATTAAAGGACTGTTAGGTAAAGGTCTTCACTTTAAAGTAAATTGGACAAGGAACGATCATACGTCCATTTAATAATATTTTTATCCATACCTTATTTTTATTGTTTTGATATTGCCTAAAATAACCAGCCATAAGTTTACGTCTTCCAAATACTTCTTTGCATTATATAAATTAGCAATCAAAGTGCAAAATTGTATGAATAATTTATTTTATGTACGACAATATTTATGTATTAAATTCCCATACATATGCAAAACAATTAAGTGCAACATAAATGATAATCAAAAAATTGGTTGGTCATTTTGTTCATTTTTTTTTCTTAGTGGGAGGCGGCAAATGTCAGCGGTTCATGTGGTCAAACAAATTGCGGAAGAATTTGGAAAGAATGAAACGGTTTTTCATTAAAATTGTTTTTAATTTTAATTTTATTATTTTTTTAAGAGTTCATTGGATCATTATAACAAAAAGTTGTGACAAAATTCCCATAATGATGAATTTAATTAGGGGAATAATTTAGAATCAAGTGGAATTAGTAATGGAAGATCTTCATCTATTCTCCAATGGAATTTTCTCAAATGTTTATAAGGGATTACTGAAAAAACCACAGCACCGATTGATTGCCGTCAAGAAATCATGGTCTGATCAGTGTGAGCGGAATGGAATGGATTTTAAAATTTTATTAGATTAAAATAAAAATGAAAAGTGTACGTGATGGATATAGCAAATTTATTGCTTTCCAAAGTAGAAAAATATTCTTCAGTTAATTTAATAAAAATTTTACGAGATAAATTGATGAATAAGCTTAGAAAGCAAGCAGATATGTGTGTGAAAAATTGAGAAAATTTCAAAAAAAAAAATAAAATAAAAGTGCTAACTTTTCAACAAATATTCTAAAGCTGTCAAGTTTTACAAAAATAATTGTTGCATTTTCTTTCGGCATTGTCATTTTTTCATAGCTTTTCATTTTAGCAGATCATAATCCAATGGAAGTACAAATTTTAACAATGTTAAATCGTATGCATCACAAAAATATCATTAAATTATTGTATAAATTCAGTCAAGAATATCCTGATCAGAAGGTCAATTATATTTTCAATTTAAAAATGCTAACCTTCTTAGATAATATCCTTTTTGTCATTCAGTTTTTTTTTTTTGTAAAATGAAGGTAGTGATTTTATTTATTCAATTTGTTAAATTATAGATATGCACAGCATTGGTATTTGAATTTTTTCCAATGAATTTACATGAGGTTCGAGAACGATATGGTCCTTTAAGCATTTTGGATATTAAATTATACACTTGGCAACTGTTCCGTGGACAAGCACATTTGGAAAAAGTTTAATTTTTTAACAATTTCAAAATGAAATTTTTAAGAAATTTTGATTCATCTCAAATGGAATTTGATAGCATTTTTTTAGAATAATATCTGTCACAGAGATATAAAGCCACAAAATCTATTGGTAAATCATAAAAGTGGAATGCTGAAAATTTCCGATTTTGGATCCTCAAAAGTTAGTTATCATATAATATCATTTTAAGTGAAAATAATTTCCCCACAAATATTCCTTTAAACAGTATCAACATTTTCAAGATGATGCATGATCAAACAACATCATATCACTATCATGTGACAAGGTATTATCGTGCACCAGAACTTATTTTAGGTTCCATTCGATATCGATGCGAAATCGGTAATGATTTTTTTCTTTCTCGCTCCGCAGGTTTATTCCGTTAGATACTTCTGTAATTCTGTATCAAACAATGTGTACAGAATTACCATTCACAAAAAAAAAAAAACTTAAATCGTTAATAAATCTGATAAATTCGAAATTTAACAGTGCCTATTTGAGCATTAAATAAAATATTCTAAAAATTTACAATGTAAAAAACTTTTGCTAGCCAAAATTTTTTCTCAAAGTAATAATCAATTTTTTTTTTCAAATCGATGGTCATGTGGTTGTGTATTTGGTGAACTCTTAAAAAATCGTGTTTTATTTCCGGGACAAACAACAAATCAACAACTTCGGGTTGTTTTTTTTTTCCTTTTTACTTTTTTCTTCTAATTAATTAGGCTATAAAATTGTATAGAAATAATCATGCAACGGTTGGAATAATTTACAGCTCATAATTAATATTTTGGGATATCCAACTCCACGTGATATTGCAGCAATGCGAGTGACCACTAAAGTTCTTCAAAACAATGATTTTCTTGGTGATGTTCGTTTTCTTCTCAAATTTTTTACAATATTTTTAAAACTTACTTAACTTTCTCATAGAGGAGAAATTTTATGACAAAAATTAGTAAAGCTTGGTTAATTAGAGTAAATTTTTGGCCTTAAAAAATTCTAGGAATATCATTGATCGTCGTATCATATGACAATATGATAGAACTGAACATTTCATCTACTACATTCATGTTTTCTTATTTTTGGATATCTTTTAATTATTCTAAATTAATTTATTTTATTACTTAATTTTTCCTTATCATTTATTAGCTTATTAAATTGGACTGACTTTATTCCAATATTATCTTATGTTTGAAATTTTTTTTAATAGAAGTTAAATTTTTAGATAATTAAAAAACCAAATCCTGATGGTTTTAAAATAGTATGTTTTTCTCATAAATTTCAAATTAGATTTTAACTTGAAAAAAGTAAATGTTTTATGAAAACATGACACTATCATTTTTCTGATGTCCAATTAATTAAATTTAGAAAATGGTAATTTTTTTCGAGAAATACAGCTCTGCTAAAATCAAATTAATTGACATTTGTAATTCTTATAATGCATTTAAAATATTTTGTAGTTAATAAAACACATTGATCAAAATGCATTCGAATTATTGACACAAGTATTGGTATATGATCCGATCGATCGTTTGTCTGGTCAACGTTTCCTTGAAAATAGCTATTTCAATGAATTATTCGATCCACAAACCAAACGTAACGGACAACGCATTAAAATACTTTCTAAAAAAGTCTCGTCATTTCATTTTTAATTTCACAGTTCCTTTTCGTTTCTATTTTCAAAAATTAAATTTATCTTTTTCATTCAATAAATGATTAAGCAATTAATTCAAATTTAATAATACTTAAAGATTAACAAGCAAAAATTGTCTCACTGAAAATTTGAAAGATTAAAAGGCATTTTACATAAAAACAAAAAGAACTGAGGAAATTTAATTAATAAATATCATTAATTTTAATTAATCCATTTTGTTAATTTTACATTCAAATTTTTTTCATTCTCTTTTAAAGGATTTTGAATGTGCAATTGCTGGTGATGAAGTATTGCCAGAATCAACCATAACAGATACTAGTGAAATGTAAATACTTCATTATCATTCCATAATAATTCCTATTCTTTAGTTCCTATATCATATGACCATCGTTTGTTAGCTATACGTCAAATTTGATGGATAGGTAAGGTATATTATTTGCACTAAAATTATTTACCATTACTACATTATCATATCCAAATACACTTTAAAACATACCATTATCATCTAACATTGCTTTTATAACATTTAGTTTACATACATATAAGTTCATTTCAAATCATTTAAGTAAATTAAAACTTTTCAGTATTTTAATAAGAATACGATTTCATTTCATTTAAACTTCAATTTAAATTTCACTTTATTTATTCATAACAGCTCTCATATAATCATTCTTCTTTGAATTCTCAGTAACATTCAATTTTATACGATCTAATCTTTCTTATTCTATAAGATTTCTTACATAATGACATTTGAATGATTGTAAAAACTATCACTTCCTTTGTTAGTTAACAAAATGTTAAGATTTTTTTATTTATATATATTATATGAATTAATATAACTTAAAAATAAATACAAAATTAACTTTCATTATTATTTACAGATCGGATATAACAGAATAAAGAAAAACAATTCAACAATTACTCAAAATGTGCAATTTCGCTAAAAAAGTAAATTTTATAAAATTTTGAAATGACAATAATCCAAGAACTTTTGAAAGATAGAACATAACATTCAATGAACAGAATTGAATTTAAAACTTATCCATAATTTATTACTAAATTAAGTTTCAAATTTCATTAATGATAGATATTAGCAGGTACTGATTAATACCATATTATTTCTTGCAGTGTTATATACAGTAGTTCTTAGATTAATGAATGAAAAGAAAAATCGTTAATATTTTACTAATTTTTAAATGAATAATCAAACTATTAATGAGATACATGAAATTACTCAATCTATGCAACAATTTTCCCATTTTCATATTTTGAAAAATGGAAATTTCAACAAATTTTAAAAAATTTATCAATAATCGCAATCATAAAATGTTACTCTTTGTAATTTTGATTAAAAAATGCACGGCATATATGAAACGTAATTTAATTTTAGTTTAAGCGTAAATAATTAATATAATAATTTTGTTTTCTCATTAAGTTTATTTAAAAACAAAAAATTTGATCAACTCGAATGATAACATCTGGATAACTAGATCTGTAGTACCATCGTTTATCAGTCATACAGTGTAAACTTTTACGCATAAGACGCTTAGATCCACGTATAGGAAAATGTTGAGCCGTTTCAATCAATCTATGTAATTGATATACACCATATGTTTCATGCTTTGTATCATCTTCGTTTGGATCTGCGTAATCATCACTAAAAAATAGAATTAAAATTGCAACAAATAGTAACAATTTTCCCATTTCCATATTTTCCAAAAATGAAAATCTAAAAAAATTTGAAACTTCAGAAGGATTTACTATTGCTTGAGAACAACTTTGATAGCTTTACCAAATTCATAATTCTCAATTAAAAACCTTTTTCATTATGTTCTTTTTTTACTTCTCAGTAATATTTTATTCGTTATAAAATTAGCTTATTTGTTGATGCTAATCATTAAGGTATGATATGAATGTTATAAAATCGAAATGTTGCAACTTACTCCAATCCAATTTTATTAATCAATCGTCCTTGCAATGCATGAAAGCTACGATTACAAGCGAATTCAGCACGCAAACAATAACTGTCATGATGATACCAAATCCTCGGTTTAACACATCGCAAATTTTTGTTGAGATTTGTACAATTTGATGATTTAAATTCTGGACATGCATGACATGCTATAATCATCATATCATTATCATTAATAATATAATAATAACGAATATTACTATCATATCGCTTCTATTACTAAAATATTGTTTACCAATTGTATATTTATAAATGTGATTAGAAATAACAAATTCTTAAAGAATAATATAGAAGGAAAGTAACTGTGTTACTCTGAGTGATAACATAATGTTTATGTTTAATTTACATGACCAATATCATCCCTATTATCCATCACTACTTTTCTCTTCAAATTCATTAAAACATTTCCTGTACTATGCCATTTCAGTAAAACATTTTCTGTACTACGCTCTCAGTAAATATTTCCAGTAAAACATTTCCTATATTATGTTCTTTTAATTACAAAAACAAAGAAAAAAAATTTAACCTTCATTTTTCAGTTGTTTTTGTGCATAATAGTCGTATAAATGATTGGTAATATTAAGATCAGTAATAATATCCCTTAAATTATTAATCGATTTAATTGAAGATGTTGAATTAATGCCCATTTTTTGATCATGGAGATATTTGATCTTTGGAAGACAAGTTTGCAAAATTGGTATAATGTTGAGAATGAATAGAAATTTTAAAATTAGCATACTGGACGAATATGAAGTAGATGTTAATATCAGAGTAAAGAGAGAGATCGATTAAGAATGGATTACAACACTGATCTGAGAGGAGAGGTCATCCTTCAAGGCAATTATTAGTAAGTCGTTAAGCACAATTTCAGCAAAAAGGTCAATAAGAATAAGGTCAAGTAAATAATGATTGCTTCTCATACACTGCGTTACATTGGAATGATTTTAGCAACAAATTTAAATAAATTTTGTTTTTAAAATTTCATAAAATGAAATCTGTTAAAAAATTGTGCAACAATCTTTATATAATTCATCTTCTAATAACTGATATGTTCCATACAGATGTAAGTGAATAGATTTTGTGGAGACTTTATAATATTAATTGTCAAATTTAAAATTGATCTCATTCATACAGTTTTATTTAATTATCATACCACATATATAGTAATTCATAATATTTTGTGCTTAAAATTTTTGCAATACTAATTTTTGAAATTTAAATTAATTTTAAACTAGCAAAATTTTATTAGTAATTGATGCATCTTTTTTTTCAATTAAAAGAAAAAAACAAATAATTTGAAAATAACAAAATTTAACAAATTGTGCTAATGCTACTGGAAACAATATAATCTTTCAATTGTAACATTTTGAAATCCATAAGTTTGTAATTCAGCAGCTGTAAGCCATTCTTTCTGTTCCGTACAATTTGCATGGATGACCATTCGTAGACCTTCATCCGCTGACGGTGACCACCAATTTTGATTCAATCTATCCAAAAAATACAAGTCGTATGCTCTGAATAAATTGTTAAGTAGCGTTAATTTTAAACAATATGAAAAATAGTTTAAATATAATTCATTTGTAATGCATTGTTTTGCAAAATTTTTTAAATATGTTGACGAAAAAAAATTAAACTTATTTGTTTATTTCATTATTTGGAAATTATGTAAAATATTATCCGCATAATAATAGCAATAATAGCTTAGGCTTCTATATCTAAAATATTAAATATGATCTGTAATTCTTTTTTTTTTTTGGTTAATTGTTAATTAATCGTTTGAACATTCTTATTATATAATTTTTTCAACAATAATTCTTGAAAACTAATTATGTGCATTTTTAATGAAACATTAGCTAGCCGATTGATGTTAAATTAGCTATTAAATGTACCCAAGAATAGTTCCAAGTATTGCCAGCTGTTTATTTCCACACCATATTTTTGCCTTAAGGCATTCTTCACAATTTTCATAGATAATTGTAGGCTCTGAGCATACACGACCAATAAATATCGAACAATTCGGTGGCTCAAATTTTTCGCATCGTTGACATGCTGGTTGTATGTTTCCTGTCATTAATAAGTTTATTGATTGAAAACACTGATCGTTGAAGTTTATTAATTTTGTAGTAATTTAATGTACATTAAATTGTAAAATATAATTTAGAAATGATTCCACAGAAAAAAAAATTTATGATAGCATTTTTTAATTTCCGCAATAGAGTGAATAATCAAAGATTAGATAGATAACAGCTGATACTATTATGCTCTTTCAACACTTAATAAAAATTTCAAATAATTTAAACTGTTCATGTGATCATGTTGATCAAAGAAGAAAAAACTTCGAAATGAATTTTATTACATTCAAAATGACATTACCATGTGTGGTTAATTGTTGCATAGAGGATTTATAAATTAATAATAAACTGAATAGTGCTATAAAATATCGAATAGTTGACATTATTAGTTCAAAAATCCTACAAATAATAAATTCTTTAATTTGCACTTGAACTTTTTGTCTTCCGATACAATAAGCATATCGAAACTTTTACTCACAGAGCAAAGATTATGATCTAATTATGGTTGAAAACTTTGAAAGATTTCAAAACTAATTAAGTTACATTTAAATTCTTTAAAAAAAAGTGAATTTTAAATTTTTGTTAGAAAACGGAGCAGAAATAAATTGTACAAACGATGACATCTCTTTAACAGTGAAAGGAAAGGAAAGGAATGAATATAGTATGGACAATATAGTAGTGGTCATTTGCTGAATGGCGACTATTTTTGTGACAATTATATGAAGATCAATAGAGAGAGTGACCTGAGTTGCGATAATTTTCGTCTCATTTTACAAATTTTAGTAATTCCTTTTTCATCAGTTATTACAGTTACAGTGAAATAAATGTTAAAAAGATGAAAAAATTTCATTAATGCTAATTGAAATTTTCATTTCCTTTTTTTTTTTTTCAAATCTCTCGAAATATTTAATCCTTGACCGTTTTCTTCTCTTTTCTTTATTGGTTATTATCAGATTTAGTGATAATATTTAATGACTTTTTTTCATCATTTATAATTTTGGATCATTTTTTAATTTCTATTTTTTGTTTTGTTTTTTTGTTAAAAGATGAAAAGCGAGTGATATGTTAAATAGTTTGATTAATAATGTCTTATAAAAATTTTCAAATTTTTTTGATATTTTCTTGAAATGAGATTAAAAATATTGCTAAAAGAATTTGCAAATAAGGTGAATTTAAACGATTAAATTAAAAAGAAAAAAATAATAGCAATTAAGATTTCCTATTTTTGTTTGTTTTTTTGTATTATATTTTTTTAATGGTATTTTTGATTCAATTTAATCTGCTACTAGTGAAATATTATAAATACTTACCGATTTCATCCAATTCATCCAACTCATCAATCTTTATCACCAATAATGATAACATCCCTTTCTTCATTTATTTCATACTATCAATTATTAATAAGTTCTGTTGTTAATTTTTTAAAATTTCCCACTTCGTAATGAATGAATCTTCTATCAATTATAATTTTTAATTGAATAATCCTTTATACAATCAATTCAATGCAATTTTCTAACAAAACATCATAAATTATACCATTCTTTGTTACTTATTTAGTGATATGCAAAAGAAATTGCTATAAATTTTAGTATATTTTATATATAATTCTTATCTATTCTATTTCGAGCACGTACATTTGCCTTTTTCTTGAACTTTAGCATTCTGCGCCATTTTACTTAATATTTGTATCATTTAATTTATGTGAATGATTTAATCAACAAAATTTTTCTATTAACTATTCATATTCTCCATTGATAAAATTAATCGAATGTTATCAAACGAAATGAAATGATACATTGAATGTAACATTAAACAAATTTCAATATTAACTTTTCATTTAGTAGTGATAATTTTTTTTTTCAAAAACTAAAATGTAATCGTAATTTTGAAATCTTTTCATTCTCATATACCCTATCTTTTTTACAACTATTTATGTTGCTTTGTGAGAGAAGAAAGTAAACGTTCAAGTGCTAATTCATTCATTTCTCGTTCAATGGGAACATATTGGATGAAATTTTACGAATCTCTTAGTGATAATTATGATAATCAAGCAAAATTAAACATTTTTCTCTCGTTATGTTTTTTTTTTGAATTTTTGAACTGAATTCTATTTTATTTAAAATAATGTGATTTAATAAGTTACTTCAATTAATTCCTTGTATGATTAACAGCAGTGTAATGAATTCATTCATTCCTTAATAATTAATCCTTACTTATTCCTTTGTTATCATTTTCTCTTCATTTCATCTCTTCTGATTTGATTGAGTAATTTTATTTCAAGAATTAAAAAGTCAGTTTTTAACCATTTTCTACAAATTTACTTATTCTACTACTGCTATTACTGTTATCAAGTCTTTTTTAACTATCTGGAAGAAAGGACAAAAATAATTGATATATTTGATAAAATATTCCATTTCCTTAAATATTCGCATAATGCTGGAAATAAAAATTCTATCATTTAAGTTCATGCATTTACTTCCTTTTCAAATTTAATTTTTTGAAGAAAAAAATTGAAAATGTCAGAGGAAAAAAACAGTCATCCGGAATTTTTTTGCATACGAAATTAAAATTATTTATAGAAATAATACTAGAAAATCATTTTGAGTACATCAGAAAAACAGAAAATAAAAATAACTCTGATTTCAAAATATTCAAAATTTGACCTTAGCAACTTTGATCTAACATCCTAAGCTCTAAAGAATAAAGCGCTAAATAAAAATTTAGTCAATATTCTTAAACTTCAATTTCCAAGTAAGCAAGCAAGCAAGCAAGCAAGCATATTTCAAGGATTTTCCAGATGTGGTAACGCCAAACTTTTCCAACTGCAAAACTCTGCAACAGAGGAAGTCTGAAATAATTTTTCAAATGTAACAACTGTTCCACAAAGGTAAATCTATCCCTCAGAGGGATGAAGGAAGGAGAGATATCACTTGCCAATCACTTCTCAAATTCGCTTCCCAAACTTTCCCCTTTATCTCTTTAGCTCCAGCTATCATTCTCAATATTATCAGCAATTCTTATTTCATCACGAAAAGAAAAAAGATTTTTTTTTTTGAAAAAGCAAAATTTTAAGTGCTGTGTCTTCTCAATTCCTTCTCTTTCTTATCATCACTATTCATCTTTTTCAATCTTTTCGGTAGTTCTGAGAGAAAATTGCTGAATTTTTTCAATTCTTTTTTCCTTAACTTTTTCACGTTCACCCATTCAACAGCTACATTTTACCAAATATGATTTTTTTTCTTTATCTCTCATTGATATCAAATTTTACATTTTCTCCCAACTGTATTTAACACTCTCTTTATCTTATTCTATATAGAAAATGTGAAATTTTTTTGTTTAATTAAATATTTGAATATGCATTGAATTTTATTATTTGTTTAAAAATTTTTGTTGCTATACTTTTTCAACATTTCATCGCTATGCTACTATTTCATTACTGCTTTGCAATTGTCTCAGAAAGTTTGTAGTCTAATGATTGATTGGTACTTTTAGTTTAAATGAATGAAATGTTTCGAAGTTGTTATAAAATAGAAATGAAACGAGAAATTAAACTTATTGTAAATTAAACTAAAATAAATTAATCCTTTACAGTGAGAATTGGAGAAAACAATTTTTTTACACGTAAATTTCCGATTTAATTCAAATCAAATGTTAATTAAAATAAATACTTTTAAATTATGGAAAAATATTTTAGCAAAAAAATAAAAATTAAGAATAATAGTTACTATAAAATTGGGCATTTTTATTAATTTGATTTATCACTAAGCCTAGCAGTGATAAACTAATAGGATTGATCAATTATTTATCTGCAAACGATTTTATTCGATCACTTCTGGCAGAATATCTTTCGACTAATCTCTTTTAGTTATACTACGAAAGATCATTTATTGAATTAACAAATATCACAACTTGAATTTTTCATGCTCCTCTTCTCTTCCTCTTTCTTACTTATTAAATTAACACGAATTAATCAGATGATTCATCGTTAGCTAACATATGCTATAACTGTTAACTAATTTAAATTAAATTTACACTGCAACATTTATCTTATCACTGTAATGCTAGAACGAATCTTCGATGAGTGATTCTGATTTCAACAAAATCATAGCACATCTCACTTTTGGAATCTCACTGAATTACAGATGATGTTCAGCAGTTACATCTGGAAATTAAATTTGCTATTGTTTCAAGTTACTTTGGTATTGAGTGGGCCAATGCGACTTGGCACGAGCAATAATGTTGATTCGGTGGTTTTGGCTGATAGCGAGAAAGCTGTCATCATCGATACTTCCACCTCTTTTAGGGGTATTTTCCTAAATAGTTTATTAAATTGTCATAGACATTCTCAATATATTATTTTCTTTTTTTCATTTCAAAACAAAATGGGAAATGAGAGATGAATGGTTTAGATTTGATAAGATAAAATTTGAATTATCTCTATTACTTTAAATTTTCTTTTCCAAAGCATTAAGCTTTTTTTGCGAATTTTTGTTGAAATTAAAATGAAGCAATTTCAAAATTTTCAATCAAATAAAATGTAATGCGTAAATAAATAGAAAAAGTTGTGTTTATTTTCAAAAAGAAACAAATTTCAATACATTGAAAATTTCCATTTTTTTAAATTTTCCAAAAAAATAGGCGAGTTTTTTACTAACGATTAGTTAATTAATATGGATAGTGTTAATGAATTTGCAGTAGAGCGGCTTGATACACCGATTGAACGGATTGAAATACGGCTTATGGATGAGAATGCCACACAACCGGTTGTTATTGATATTCAGAAATCAGTGCAAACAACACCAACATCAACTGATGAAGAAAGTGATAATTCAATGATTGAAACAAATGGTTTAAAAGAAGGTAATGGAAATAAGAAGCGAAAAACGGACGAGCAAAAATTATCATCATTAGGTGGATTTGAACTTAAAGTGGAACGAAAAGTAGAACAACATATTGTTCCACGATCTGATCGTCGTTGGGATAATCATGATCGAATTAGCATTTCACATCCTGAATATGTTGATGATTTACCACCAATTGATATCGATGATGAGGTCAGTTCTTCTTTCTCTCTGAAATTTCTTCCATTACTGATCATTTAATTAAAAATTTGAAAATATTTTTTTTAATACGTTTAATCACAACCATTTATATTTTTGGATGATTAAATAAAGCTTAAGGAGAGAAGAAAGAATGCAATAATTTATGCGATTTAAAAAAAAAAATTTATAAAATTCATGATTCAGTTTTTCTTGACAAATATTAATAACAATATTACAAAGAGATAGTCATCAAATTAAAAAATGAAAATTCATTTTAGTTACTCATCATTTTTTTCAAACGTCTGACTTTAGTATAATTAAATTTAGAAACAGTTGGTTATTGATAATTTATTTTTGAAAGTAATAAACATGAAATTTTTAAAAAATTCAAATTTGTATAATTTAATGCTTTATGATATAGAGTATTAAGATATATTACAATTTATCATTATATATTCTTCGTAAAACAGTTCATTTAGAAAAAATTTTGATAATTTTTTTCCTAAAAACTTTTAAAATTTAAAATAATATTTCGTGAAATTAAAGCTGAAATCAACTTAATGAAATCTAAATCAATTTGTGTAACGATTATTGATGATTATCATTTGTTATGTTATTTAAATCATTGAAATTAGCTGCTTAATTGAAAAAATTTATAAAAATGCTATAAATTGTTTGCATATAATATTATGTATTTCTTCCAAATATTTATTTCATTTCGCTTAACAAAATATGCATTTTGAACAAATTGCGGAACTTGCAGGATGAAGCATCGTTTGAAGTGTTACCCGTTGAAAAGTGCTATTTAAATCGTGAAAAATTAACACCGGATATTTTGAACGATATGGATAGAGATAAACGAAATCTATCACGAATTCTCAGGCAGTATAATACACAACTTCGGGCATACTGTAGTCCAGAACACGAAGCACGAGATGAAGCTTTTAGGTTGCGATTTTAAACTTTCAGAACATTCATTTATATCTTCAAATAATTTATTGACAAAATTTAAAGCAACTTGTCTATTTGAAAAACATACATGGGTAATTGAAAAAGCATAAATAAAAAAATACATAATCAAATCAATTTGCATATTAAATGTAATGCGAAAACGAATCAGATAAATTTAATGCTATTATTTCCTTGAAACAGCTCGTTTATTATAGTATGCAGTAAACTGTCTATTTTCTGTAATATACAATTTTTTGAGTAATTTTTTTTTTTGCCTAACTACTCTCTATTAAGTTAATATATCTTTTTGTATAGTTATTAAATTTTATTTAGGAATTGTCCATTATGGAGAGAAGAAAAAATGATACATTACTATAAATGGATGCGATTATTGTATTGTTCGGATTATAATCTTTGGCCTAATGCGCCTAAAATTAAGCGTTCATTTGGTGCTAATTTGCCACTTTTCGAAAAACTTTATGCATTCATGCCAAAATGATATTTTATCTTATCGCAGGTACAAAATATATTGTTCCAAAAACAAAAAAACACTGCGTTTCACTTTTAACACCTCAGTTTTTATTTTTTTTTTCTTTTTTTCTTCAAAAAATTTAATGCATTTTAACTTCATAAAATTTTTTTCGTTTTTTAATTGTTTTTTTTGTAATATACAAAATATTTATTTAGTCAAATATAAAATATTTCATCATCGACCAAAAAAAGTCACTTTTTTTGATAGAAATTGTATCGATAAGCAGAATGTTAATAGAACATATTGATCCAATTGATAAATTGATAACGAAATAATTGGCATACTTCTTCAAATTCAGTTTTTTGCCCAATGCACAACATCAAACAAGTAGTACCGCTTACTTTTTATTTTTTTTCTTTTCCTTTTTTTTTGAGATAGTGCACAGTAGGAACAGCTTGTGTGTTCTTCAACGATAGCACGAACTAATTTTTTTTTTCTTTTTAGCTTCTATTTAATTTATGTTTACTTCATTTCTTTCACAAGCAAAAAAGTATCGATTGTTTTTTTGTTAACAGTTACTTGAAAATTAAATAAAACAGGCAGTACATTTCTCACTAATCTTACTTTTTTCGATGATAAAATAGAATTGAGCTGAAAATGGAAATGTTACTGAATTGCAAAAGAAAAAAGCGCCAGACGAATGGTAATAACTTTGGAAAATTTAAATTTCCATTTCAAATATTTTACTTAAAAGAATTTATGCAATGATAGCTTCTCGCTTTTTTTTATCAGAATTTTAATGAGTTCCAAAGTGAGAACATTTGGCATTTATCTCGCAAATTCCGTAAAAATGAATGGGTTGATTAGTTGGGAAGAAGAATACTCAGAAATTTGTTGACTTTTTTTGGAATATTTTGGAAAAAATTGACATATGAATACATTCCGCTATTCCATTTTTATTCGATCAACTACTATTACCGTTTCCGGTAATTATCTACATTTACTGCTGCCATTTCCGGTAATTGGAAATGTAGCTGATTACAGGAAATGATAATATATAATGTCGAAAAATGGAAAAATTAAAATTGGAAAAACAAAAAATAAAAACACACAAAAAAATAGAACGGAAACAATTGGTGAAGAAAGGAGCAAACGATTAATTCTATCTTTTTCCACTTCCGTTTCTATTTCCATTCGTTTATTCACGTGTTTCTCATTCATTCATGATTAAATTCCGAATTTTTTCCGAAAATTATCGATTACTTCAATTGTTTTTTTTCTGGGGATGAGTAATTTGAAATAAATTTATTGTGATAATAGAAAAAAGCAGCGGGAAAAGAGTGGAGAAGAGAAATTTTCCGAATAAATTTGGTACCATTTCTACGATGATCTGAAAATTTTCTTTCTCAATCCTTTCAATGCTAATTCTCAAACAAAGTTTTATTTCACATGGCAACAACAATCATGTTTTTCAATTTTTTTCTTTTTGAAAATTTATATTAAGCATTTTAATGGTCTCGTTTTCTTTTATTTATCGTAACTGTTTTGTAACGAATGCGTAAAAAACAATTGCGTGATTCTACGCTACAAAGGCGGATTTCATCATTTTTACGTAAATCACGCGCTGTTTGATTTAATCATTTATGATGGCGTTTAAATTCATTAGAGCTCTTTTAATATGAAATTGATCGATTTTCAACAATCCGTCTATGCATCAGAATTGAGGCTTTCATTTTGTAAAGGAATGGAATTATTATTACTTATGTGTATATAATTTTAATAATACACTACGATCTTCTTTTGAAACTCACGGCTTTCTTTGATGTTATATTGTTTAGTTAATTAGAATTAGTTTACATTCTTTAACATTAGTACTACTGCTGCTACTATTTATTATTATTATTATTATCATTTATTATTTGATAGTGTTATTATGTTTTTGATGAAAAACTTTCCTCATTATGTTTTGATTATTTTAAAATTGTCGAAGACAGGATAATTTGCATATTTCATAATTGTCAAATAACAAAAATTTAGTTCGAGATATAGTTTTTCATATGTTAGTATTCGTCGCCCGAATATTCAAACATTAAAAGAAAAGAATAAAAAATGGTTCAAAAAGACATTTCAATTCTTTTATTAATATCTTATAAATCATAGAAATTATTTTGGAAAAAAACCAAAATAATCTTCCAGCAAATAGTACAAAAAAATTAAATAATTTAAAAATTATAAAGATAATTAAAGAATTAATTTTTGGACTTCTTAAATTCAAAGCTAATATTGCAATGTAAACGATAATTAATTGTGATAAATACTCGAATAGATGAAGAAGAAAAATAGCATCATTGAGAGACAATTCCAAAAGGTCATTCATTCATTGCAGCCAAATCATTAAGCTCATTCCGATCATCAATTAATATTGAATTTTATTTCAATCATTATTAAATAGAAAATGATATTTTCTTGTAGAAAATTTTAAAATTTCCCAAACGAAGTCATTAAGATTTTGACCAGATATTGCATAAAAACCAACAAACAAACAAACAATTCCTTTGATCCCTAGCTAGCATATATTTCGATCAGCACCTATCAATATTATCCGGACAAGCACAAGTCACATCTTTTTTTCCCGGTAGGCACAAATACTTGCAGCCACCATTATTCACTGCACAAGCTGTAGCAACTGAAAAAGAGATTTTGAATGGAAAATTAAATCGGAACAAAAAGAAAAAGATGAAATAGCGGAGAAGAACGAATGATACTATTATTTTACCAGCCGAGATTATTCATTAACTTAATAATTAACTATTTGCAATGAGTTATTAGAAAAGGAAGGCAAACCTCCACTGCATCGTAATGGTACCGAAACAAGACCGTACAATCGTCCTGAACCACCAATCGTTGCTGGAAATGACGTATATCCATCACCATTTACAGATACCGAATGAATTTTATTGCTATAATAAAGTATGCTATAAAGTATTCGAAAAAATTAGACTGCTTTTGTTCCCTTTTTTTTAATGAAAAATACAAAAAAAAAAGTTTTTTGAAAATCAATCGATATTTTTTGATCATTAAAAAAAATAGAAATTAAAGCGCACTCGCTCCAATCAGTCCAGTAGAAACGTTGATCATTGTGGACAGTTAATCCGAACGGATATTGAAGTGGTGTATAAACAATTCGACGATTTTGTCCATTTAAGTCAATACACGACAAATGTTGTAAGCCAGCATCAACCCAACATAATTCACGTCGTTCCATAAGTATGGCAAGTCCTGAATTGGTCAGTGGATATAGTGGTCGGTACAGGAAAACTGTACGATATCAATGACCCTCTTTTTACCTCCCTTAAGTCCATATTGAATAACAATGTAATAATATATAGTATTAGTTATAGGTTAAGATTAAATATATTATTTGGATATGTACGAAAAATCGATTTCGATAAGAATCAAATTAATTATTTATGATAATTTGCATACTAATATCTGTCAACTATAGCTTAGCAATAAAATAACCGTTTGGTAAGTTCACTTCTGTGGTTACAAATGCTGAATTTCCAGTTCCATCCAAATGTACGCGTCCAATTACTGGATTTTCACGATGCCAATCCGAATAGTACAAATATCTAAGAAGGCGCAATTTGATTTCAATCACTTAATTTTCAACAGTAAAGCACAAATAATAGTTAATTATCAAAAATTTAACACTAAACAGTATTGTTACCTGTCTGTAAGATCGATAGCTAACGCACGTGGATTCACTAATCCTTCATTGATAAGCGTTTTATAGTATTTCCCGTCAAGACCAACCACGCCAATCTCATCCTTAACCGAATCCGCGTAATAAACATTACGTGAAGACCAATCAACAGCAACACCTTCTGGACTTTTCAGCACCGAATCCATAAATTTTCGTTCATCTGTTCCATTTATTGATGCTGATAAAATCGAATGACCTGTAATATTAATTGAAAAGCAAGGAAAATATTAGTATAATCTAAGCCAGTTTTTTTTTTACGTTTCATACGTAGAAACAGTAATAAACTATGACGTAAACTGATCTTTATATCAATAAAATATTAGGTTTTTTTTTGATAGGTTTCAATCTCCACTATCTGCACTACTTATATTAATAAATATGCAGAAAAGGAGCTCAATAAATCAAGTTATAATATCGTTTAATTTTAATTCAAATTCAATTCTAATTGTTATTTACCAGCAATGTCACTCCAGATGATTCGTTCTTCCTGACAATCAAAATCAATGCCAACGGCTATTTGATGTGGTACCACTATAAGCTAAAAGAATAAAAACAATGAAAATAGTTAATTAGAATCAAATTTATTACAGTAAAATATTGGCATTTTTCTCAAACAAATATACCTGTTTTCCTGGTGAGTCAGGATTGATACTTCGGTGAATTATTGTCATACCGCGGCAAATAAATATCGCTTCATCACGACTTTCACTGTCTGCTGCAATTGCAACTTTCATATATATCGAAATATCATTCATTAAAACATCGAAATATCAAAAGAAGAAAAAAACAAAAACAATAATGGGAATATTGCTTAAATTGTTTCAAATATAATATCATTTCTGATATATATATATATATATATAATTGATCTGTCAATTTTAATGAGAGATATAAAGAAATGATTTTTATTAGGCTATGCGTCGTCATTATGTTATTCTACCATTGATCATTAATATTTCAAATCTTTCATTCCGTGTAAAAAGTCAAATTTTTGTCAGATGGACAATACATACGTGTACAGGTTCGACCATTCCCATGATATCCATAATGACAGTTGCAAATATAATGACCATATTCGTTTGGTACGCATTCCGCATGTTCATCACATACTGATCGATCATCCAAACAATTAGCTGTAAATATCATACAAATTATATTAGAATAAAAATATTCCTTTAAACGACTTTGCAAAATATAATCATACAATTATAGTTATGTGTTATTTAACTTACGTGTGTCATTCGTATATTTTACTCATTAATAAATAATCAACATTCAGCAATTTCAAGCTAATATTTGCTTAAATTATTTCAAATTTAATATCACTTCTGATAAAATAATTATTAAAAAAGTATATTTACACATTTATAATACGATGTAAATGATGAATAATGCAATATTTGTAAGTTATGCGGATAAATGTATAAGACATTTGTGCAATATCGTAGTGTTAACGTGCTAATCTCTCTCCCTCTCTCTCTCTCTCTCTCTCTCTC